GGGGGTTCTTGTATTATTAGTCTCAAATCTCACGTAAACATATTTCAAACCCCGCCAACGACATTTACATTTGCCTCTAACACGATCTAAGCACCGCTATTCTGAACCGAGGGATTGGCTTCAACATTATGCGCTACTGAAATGTATACCCCGAATGACCCTACCCATCCACTAACGTTCCGTGAAACAACAAGAACCCAACCATAACGGAATTGTATACACCCCAGTTAATGTGTATGTAATGTTGAACACTATCTCTCTCCCGGTAAGAGTTACAATTTCATCGATTTAGACATTAATTATAAGTAAGACATATTAGCGAGAGAAACATAAAATTGGTCTGTGGTGAAAAAAGCTGCCTTAGCAACATTGACTTACTATCTGACTTCTCTGCTAAACGGTTTGCTGCGTGGGCAAAGAGCCGTTTCATGACAAGGAGACAGATGTTCTGACAAGGTGGAGTTCGTGAATACTGACTCTGAAAGTATGATAGCTTTCATCTACATGAAATGATACCCAACCCGTTTTCTGAAAGAAAAAAAAATATCTGCTGAAATGAAAAAAGCAGCCGAACCTGCTCTGGCGGCCAACTGTCTAAAACGATAACCCGAAGTAAAGACCACTCATTTTCCTCACTTTCGTTTCTTGCAAGTTACCTTTTAATTTGGTAAGTGTTTTACGACCCTCGCAACTGCGTAAGTTCGTATGAGCGCGCGGGAGTTATTAGACATTTTCAGTTTGGTATGATTTAATCTTGACTTGTTACCGGGTGGCGACCGAAGCCTATTTTTATCGATTTTGAACCACCACGCAACTTGCACCCTGGACCTCAGCGATGTTTCCCCTTTATCCGTGAAGGCTTGGTGCTAGATCTTACTTACCCTAAGATCAGGGACGTGGCTGACAGACAGCAGCAAAAAGGCGCCAAAGAGAAACAGTAGAAAGGCTGCAGAAAGAGTTAAGTGCCCAGAGGAGGGGCAAAAGGGGGTGGGGGTGGGGGTGGGGGTTAAAAAGTCGAGACGAAAGCAGGCAACAGAACATGGTTAGTTGATTAGAGAGCAGGAAAAGAGGTGAAAGGAGAACATTTTAGAGAAGAAAATGTTCCGTCGCTGTCAGATTTCGAACCAGGGACCTATTGAATGAGAGGCAAACACCTTAACCTGTTAACCATGAGAGACTTTCTAAGTTATAATGCCATTCTACATGCTCTGGGGTGGTTTGCTCCTTCTTTAATGTCAAACATCTATCGTCTTTATCTTTCCTTCTTTTTAATGTGTATGTTACTCACTTGCAGCACCTCTAATCTTCAGCATTCATGTGACCTAATGGTGTATAATATATTATGTAAAGGCCTCTCTCTCTCTCTCTCTCTCTCTCTCTCTCTCTCTCTC